ATGTTTACATTGGCTTGTCGGGGTAATATTTCTGTCCACTGACAACAAAGTTTTCCTTCTGAATTAGCATAACTGCACAAGTTTTATACTTAATAAAATCTTTAAAAACAAATGACATTAGTTATACTTTCATTTCCTTTAATAAAAAGGAAATTGAGTAAAACGGTGTAAAAGGTGTGTGGATGTGGATTAGTAATCTGGCCCCTTGGTATAAAGGAGAAAAAATGCTGGCCCTCGTCACTATCAAAGTTGCCCATCCCTGATCTAGATAGTGTAGAGTTCTCTGACATTAATTGCTTTAAGAATTAAAAAAAAAATTGTGATCACAAAATCATTTTATTTCTTTAAATGGACTTGTTGTCATTATATTATATTATATTTTGTTTAGTGATTTCTTTTGGATTAATGACTGTAGTATTATTTATCAGTTTATTTAATTATTTTTAATTGCAAAGTATATGAGACCTAACTGCACTGTGGTTTTTATTAGTCAATGGCTATAATGTATTCTTTATATCCAGTTTTTGTTGAACTCTTGTAATTGAATGAGTAATGTAGGATCTCTGTTTGTGTGTGTGTGTGTGTGTGTGTGTGTGTTTTCTTAGGTACATGACGGATGGGGGATTGAGTCTGTATACGCGGCGATTGAACCGTTTGCCGGATGGAATGACAATGGTACGGGAAAGTCTGCAGCGTAACGCCTCCACCGGCCAGGGAGACGCCGACAGGTACCTAAAACCTCTTGCTCTTCACCCTGATCATCATCAAATCTTGCATTCTATACATACACAAAATGTGGATTCACTCCTGCATTTAAGGTATGCTAATAATATCAGCTTCTGTTTTGTCTGAATATAGCTGCATTGGGTTTATAGGCTGCTGTAGGTCTATGTTAAGTTCAGTGGGGGAAATCCTGTATGGAGGTGGCTCTGGTTGATGATGGCATGCTCCATTACAGAAAAGAAAAAATAGGTCTTCTATTGGGTTGAGCTTGCACACTCCACTAGCTTTCAAAAGAAAGAAAACAGCTGAAATGATGGCTTGTCACCACAACCTTCTCTGTTGCAGATCTAAGTTGTAGGTTGTGGGTGTAACCCTACAGAGTGGCTGCGACTGCCCCTCTTAAACGATCATATTTAATTAGCATGTGTATTTATATGTGTTTGAGTCATTTAGCTGGCAGAGGGACCGATGTGTGCGTGAGCCAGATGAGATGCCACTCATTCAGATATTACATCACCACATTTAGTCCTTCAGCTGGAGGGAAAAGTAAGGTTTAGACTGTGGAAAATATTGGAAGATTGTGTGTTTTAATGCTGCCCATATTTCATATCTGGATAGATTTTAAGGTCTAGATTAAATCATATTTACCCCCTCACTAAAGTGTGTCTTGTTAGGACTTGACCACAGGACGAGCACATGGGGGAATTCCTCTCTATCTTTATAGTCCCGTCCCCTTGTTTTCTCCCTGTCCCCCTCAGACTCCGCACATCAGAGGAAATGAACAGCACAGTGATGAAATAATATGATATGGGTGTTTCATGCACCATAAAAAGCCTCCCTCTATTTTGGACGGTTCCCCTCCTCCTTTTCTGAGAACAAGTCCCCTCCACTGCGCTGAGGATGTTGTGGTTAACCTCCAGCCTCTAAACATCTACCACTGTCTCTGCTGCCCTGAAACTTATCCATTACTTTCTCTCTCTTTGTTTCTCTCTTTAGACCAGATCGATCTGTTATCTTCCCCTTTTGTTCTGCAACCCGATCATCCTTCCTTCGTTCCAACACCCTTTTACCACACACCACATTAGTGTGTTTGCTTCCGTTGCTCAATCCAGAGCAGACAGTTTAATCATGAGAGCTTCTTTATGAATGCAATATCAGAAGTTCTTGTTTTTCCCAATCTATAATATTGGAAAGGCAGCTTTGATATGGCACAAATGATTTGGATGTTAAAGCAATCAGGGCCCATTTTGCCTTGAGTTAGAGTATGTAGAGGCGGCATTTTCTACACATTTGTAGCACGTAATTTTTTTTCCCTCTTGTAATGCTAATCACGATTGATTGCACCAAACATTTAGTAATGTAGTTTTTCATTACCTTTTTACATACTCTCTCACACCCTTAAAGTTAGGCTGTTTTTGATATTACACTGAACAAAATTATAAACGCAACACTTTTGTTTTTTGCCCCCATTTATCATGAGCTGAACTCAAAGATCTAAGACTTTTTCTATGTACACAAAAGGCCTATTTCTCTCAAATATTGTTCACAAATCTGTCTAAATCTGTGTGATAGTTCATCCAAAAATCAAAGTCTGTCATCATTTACTCACCCTATTGTTGTTCCAAGCATTACATAAATGTTTGTTTGTTTGTTTATGTATGTATGTATGTCCATGAAAGTCAATGGGATCCAGTATTGTTTTGGACCCAACTGGCTTTAATTGTATAGACAAAAACAGTTCAAACATTCTTCAAAATACCATCTTTTGATATCGAAAGTCATACAAGAGTGAACATTTTTGGTGATAAAATATAAAATAAAAATTAGAACATGAAAATCAGAAATGTTTAAGTGCTATAAGTTTAAGTACTAAAACTAAAACTGAAATAAAAAAACAATTAAAGGTATAGAGAATTTGTCTTTAAAAAAAAAAAGAAAAAAAAAAGAAGCTAATAAAATGAAAAAGAAAAAAAGTTACAATTACTAAAACTAAAATGAAAATGAAAACCAAAAATAAAAGCTATATATAATAGCTATATATAAAAAATACTATATTAGTATATAAATAATACTGGCGTATTTAGGTTGGTACCCCAGTGTGAGTAAAAATCTGTTTTCCAGTTATATGGCATCATATGGAATATGATATGAAATATTACCATCAGTTAATCAGATGAGTAATTTCTCTCTTTTGTTTGTTGGATTCTTGGAAGAGACCACATGATACTCTTTACGATGAGATGATATTATTTACAGCTCATATAATTAACCATGAATCATTACCTTGTTTTCTAGTGTCCTAATGAGAGGAGAACATTTCAAAAGTCCCTGGGGTGTCCTGCTTTAAATAACACTTCTTCTGGCAGGCGTGTAGAGAGATAGCATGAGAGAGGCCCTGGGAACGACACAGCCGTGTTTCTCCACCGTGTGTTTGAGTGTAAGAGGTTTAAGGTCAGAGCACTTCAAATGACTCCGGACAGGCATTCAAACAGCAGTGACCAGCCAAAGACCCTCAGCCAGCTCTCAACTGTAGTGCACACTTCTCAGGCTGGAGTGAAGGACAGAGAGAGTTGATATAAAGAGGCAAAGGTAGCTTACATTTTCCTGAGCAGGTGCAGTGGATCACTGATAGGGAACTGTGTGAGTGTGATCGTCTTGTGTGATGTTGTAGGATCCTCTTCCCTCCAACCGTCTGTCTGATCTGTCTACAGCACACCTGTGCAGTCGTAACACACCTGGGTATACGGGCCTCCCATCTCTCTCATCTGTATGTGGGTGTCCTGGACTGTTTTCAGTATTTATGGGCCTCTCATATATTGGTGATGCGCTGAGAAAAGAGTCTAAAAACAGTTACACCAGTTGGAAGTTTAGACAAAAGACAAAAAAAAAAAAAAACAGTTTAGACAAAAAAAGAGTTTTTTCCCATTTTAGAATCATATAAAAATGGAAGTATGAACTTATAACTTTTTTTATCATTATTATTATTAACATATTTTGTTTTGTAAGAATTGTTTTTAGATACACTTTGTAGGTTTTTAGCATCATAAGGAATATATTCAGTTATTTGCTAGTGTACATAAACAATGTATAGTTTGTAAAAATGAAATGTTAGAGTAGGTTACAATTTGTTTCCATTTGTGCTGGACTTCCTTGATTTTTACTGTTTTTAAAAGATTGTACCAGTACACAGACGTTTGGGCTCAGCAAGGATGCATTAAATTGATCAAAAGTGAAAGTGAAGACTTTTACTTTGTTACAAAATATTTATATTTCAAATAAATGTTTTTCTTTTGAACTTTCTATTTATGAAAGAATTCTGAAAAAAAAATTAATCACGTTTTCTACATAAAATATTAAGCAACTGTCTTCAACAATAATATAATAGTTTTATAGTCATAGTTTTCAACAATGATAATAATTTATTGAGCACTAAATCGGCATATTATTAGGATTTCTGAAGGATCATGTGACACTGAAGAATGAAGTAATGGTAAAATTAAATTTAAAAATATATTATAATAGAAAATTATAAAATAATATTTAAATAAAGTAAAATACATATTTTTAGATATTTTTTCAATATTGATACAGTTTTTTACTGTATTTCTGATCAAATAACTGCACCTTTGCATTCAAAATCATAAAAAAAACTTCCTTGGAATTTTTTTTTAAAGGGGTCATATGATGCTATTTTAAAGATCATTATTTTGTGTGCTCGATTCTTTCAGGCCATGATGAAAGCTCTGTTGCTAAGGAAAGTCGGGCAGATGAGAGACTCTGTCTGTGTGTGTGTGGTGGGGGGATGGGGCTGTACGTCCACTCTAGGTGCTAAATTCAATACATGTGTGTTTATGTAGGTGCTAGACTTGAAGTAGTGTTAGCTAGAGCAAGAGATTCATTAAAAAATGAATTGTTCTAAAAATGAATAATTTTTGAACTGGACCTTAAAATGAAATCTCATAACTTCTTTTGGGGTTTAAAAAAATATATTAATTATATCTTTTTGGTAATTATATATTAAGTATCTTGAAGTAATAGTTCTGTTTTCTATTTTTTACATTCATTTATTCACACAAATACATTCATTTTTACAGTTTGTCCTCGCACTCATCTTGTCATTTCCAGCTTGTTTTCTCCTCTATGGTCTTCTGATCTTGTGGTCATTCTTTTCCATACAGTGAAATTGAATGAAAAATGATATAAAAGCACCCAAAACATAGTTCAAATGCTATATTCCAAGTCTTCTGTAGCTTTGACATGTCGTACCAAGTGTAATGTCAATGATGAGACATGAAGACCAATTATGTTTAATGCCATTGATGACAAACCTGGCACAACACTTCTTGAGGTGCCGTGTTTGTGTGTAGGAGAACATAAATGAGATTTGAGAGGAAGATTTTGGTAAATAAGGGCTTAAATAACTCACATGTAGCTCTTATGTGGTTTGCTGGTGCACAAATCATGTGGTACGCCTCAAATACATAGCAAATATTTATTTATCTCCAAACAAGCAGGCATTAAATGATCCACAGGGATTTCTGGAAAGCTTTTTGGACTGAAGATTCAAATGAGTAAGTGAATCAGTTCAAACAGACTGTCCATTTGAACTGATTTGTTCAAATGAATCAGATCAACTCTAAACCGAAGTCTGATGAAGCAAGTTGATGAAATAGTGCATGTGAAAAGGGGGGAAAACGATAACCACAGACGAAAGAATAAAAAGCCTGTTGACCTCTCATTGTTTTGTGGTCAGAAGGAGCTTTGTCATTCTTCTACCACAGAGCTGAGCATGGAAAGGTCTGGAATGCCCCAAAATGTTTGGGAACGTAACAGTCTTCTTAAAAGCCTGCCATTTAACCTAACTTATTGGTAGCTGAGAGCATTATCAAATTGGCTAAATTATTTAATAAACAAACATGCAATGCACGGGGGATACAGTGTGTGAAACTTTTAATGATGCTCTAATTCTTAGTTATACAGTTTCTTGAATAACCATTATGTCTACTTAGATGATAGAAAACAGTCATAGATCTGTGTGCGTGCTGAAGTAACTGACGTCACCCCTGCAGGTTTTAGTGGAGGATTTGGTTCTCCGGGAGAAACGCAGGCTGCGGTGGGCTGTTGCGGAGGTGCTGTTTAAAGCAGGCCGGCTGGTTAGCCTGCTGGGCCGCTGGAGACAGTAATGGCAGGGTAGCGAGCCAAAGAGAAGCCCTCATTCAAGCTACACTCAAAACGCTGATCTCTAATTAGCATCCTAGACCCAGTAGGGTGGTTCCTGCATGTGCGTGTGTGTGTGTGAAAGAGAGAAAGAGTGTGTGTTTGTGTAAATGTGTCTCGCCTGGTTTAACCTCGACTCCCTCCTTCCCTGTGCTAAGGTTTATTGCATTGATACCAGATTGTAAGCGGGGGGATTGGAGAGGCGGTTAAAAGCAGCATAATCAACATCTTAATGCATGTTCCAGTAGAGATTTAGCTCCAAATTTTGAGCAAGCACAGAATATAAATTTCTAATTTTCCTTATCCTGATTTCATTCATTCATTCATTCATTCATTCATTCATTCACAGTCTCCTGTTCTGTCAGATATTGTTTTTAGGTGCAATGACTGAAAAATATATCACATCACATGATATAAAACTGGAAAAGCGTGCTAGATTAATGGAGAAAAAAACAGGGAAAGCAGACTGAAAATATATGTTAAAAAAATAATAAAAAATAATTTGCCAAATGTAACATTATTATTTCTGTTTAATTCTAAACACTAGTTGGAAATGAAGGAATAAATTACAATTTTATTTTATTTTGTTTTATTTTGTTACTTATTTTACTTTTGTTTATATATCCACCAATACTCTGTTACTTATATATTCCAGATAATAGGAGGTCTATGGGAAATTTTAATGGTTTAAAATATTTTTGATAATAATAATAATAATATGTTTACATTGAAATAATTTCATATTAAATACTAGTTAAATAAATTATGAGGCTAATTACAGTTATTTTTATTTTGATAGAGTTCTATGTTTATATATCTAACAGTACACTACTACTTAATAGAAAAGACAGATTTTTAAAATTTTGAATAATTGTTCTATAAATGTGTAAATATTATCTTATTTTAAAAATATTTTACATATAATATTTTCAATTTTCACTTATACAATAAATATATAGTATGTAAAATAAATATTAATTCTATATACTATAATTCTATAATCTATATATTATAAATTATTTAAATTATAAATATATAGTATATAAAAACGTTATACTTAAGCTTATCATGCGTGGGCTTCATAGACCTGTGATGTGGTTCAAAAATCACTGCTAATGCTCTTTTTTCAGTCCAAGGATGTGTTTCTGTATAATGTTTCTACTGATGATCAGAACTTAATAACACATTCCATAACATTCATACTGTATCTTTGGAAACAGAGGCTCAGATACTGTAATGTCTAGTAACGTTTTTAAAAATTCTTGTCTCTGTCTCTCTTTCAGTTGGGATGACAGTAGTTCAGTAAGCAGTGGGGTCAGTGATGCTATTGATACTGATGACATCAACACCAGCTCCTCTGTAAGCTCTTATGCCAACACCCCCGCCGCGTCCCGTAAGGCTTTGAACGGACAGGTATGACCCGCGCACATTTGCACACACACTGTTATGCATTCATTTATGAATGCTTTGATCCAATATCACATATCTGTGCATGCACCTTTGTGTAAAACAGAGGTCTCAAACTCAATTCCTGGAGGGCCACAGCTCTGCAGAGTTTAGCTCCAACCAACTCCAACTCACACCTGCTTGGAAGTTTCTAGTAATCCTGAAGACCTTGATTACCTGGATCAGGTGCGTTTGATTAGGGTTGGAGCAAAACCGTGCAGAGCTGCGGCCCTCCAGGAATTGAGTTTGAGACCAGTGGTGTAAAACCTGAAATTTGGAGCTCATAAGCATCCAAACATACTAAACTTGTGTGAATTTCTGTTTGCACTTTATTCCAATACTCCACTTTAGACATTCTACTAACTATAAGTAACTTTGCAACTACATGTCAGTTAACTCTCATTAGAGCATTAGTAGATGTTAGGTTGGGGTTTGGGTTAGTAGAATAACTTGGCATGTGCTTGCAAAGTACTTACAGCACATCTGTTTTCAACACTGATGATAATAATAATAAATGCTTCTTGAGCACCAAATCAGCATATTAAAATGATTTCTCTGCATCACTTGTGCTACATCTCAAACACAAAGAGGTTGTGTTCTTCTGTGCTCTGTCTGTCCAACCTCTTCCTTCCTTCTCGTGAAACCCCCTTCTCTTTCTGTTTACTTGAACCCAACTCTCACATTCCCCTGCTTAAGACCCTCATAAAGTGCTAAATAGGTGCTGTTGATTGCATAGAAACTTATGTCAATATTTAAGCTCAAGCAATTGACATGCCACATCACAATAAAACATTGGAACAAATATGCGGTCTAAAACAAATAGGTTGACTCAAGCTTCACTTCTACATTCCTCTGGACTGTGATTTCTAATTATATTGATATGGTAAGTTTGGTAAGTGTGGGTGGAAAAAACCCTACAAACTCTAAAACCACCAAATCTACTGCCATGTGCTGTTTGTTGTTTTATGGTAGATGTGTTACTTTTAAAATAGAATTAAACAGGTAATTATAAGTAAATATATTGATAACTAACAGCTCAATTCTAAAATTTGGAGCCTAATTCCCTTAAAAAGTTTGTCACCTTAATACCAATAAATACCATTAACGGTTTATCCATTTATCCATCTGTCGTGTTTCTATATCACATCACTGTGGAAAATATCTGAATACTTGCTAATATTCATATAATAAATCTGTTCTAAAATTTGGTGCCTAATTCTTATAAATTAAGCAATATTTATACTTTTTAATATTGATAAATTCATAATGTTGATTTGAAAGTTTATATTGTTTTGCGTAGCCTCAGACCGATGCAGAGAAGCATTCAGCAACCGAACGCAACACTGCTTGGTCCAGTGATGAGGTCAAGATGAAGTCAGACGGGGGTTTGGATTGTGGCATCAAAATGGAAGCAGGTCTGAAGTGGCGGCGGAACCCTTCAGATGTTTCGGAGGAGTCAGATAAGTGCAGCTCTGGACGGAAAACCGCACCCATCACTCAGACGGGCTCCTGGAGGAGGGGCATGAGCGCGCAGGTGGGCGTGACCGCGCCGCGGACGAAGAGTACAACTGCAACCACAGGAACCGGCATGATAAAGACACAAGGGACGGGTAGGTGTTCTCTTTCCAAAAGTGTTTTAAAAATATTTTCCCTGCAGCTGGTCAGTGATGTTTGTCTTTAGGCTTGAAATTCAAATCAAAATTTGATTTACGGCTGTACGATTAATCGAATGAGATTGAATCAAGTTACGTGCTGCGTGTTTCAGAGTGAATCATGGCACTGTGTTCTATTACACACAAGCAGCTCATGGTCCAGAGTTTTCAGCGTCTCAAGGTGCAACTTTTTTGAGCAATGTTGCTTGGGCACTTTTCCACTGAGAATGGGCAACAAATTTCTATCTGGATACTTTAAATCAATTTTGGGCTCTGTGTCTCACCTGGTTGCCCGTTGATGGCAACATTGCTCAAAAAGTTGCCCCGTGTATCACCTTTAGAGCAGCTCGGTTCACAGTAAATGCTGCTCCACATGAACTCTATCCCCTCATCTGTTCGAGTTTGAGTCACTTATAATATGCAGTTGGGAGCACTGCATGTACCAACCATCTTCCCAAACTTGTAATGGAAATCACTTATAAACCAACTGTTTTCAACTCATTGTCAACTCAAAATAAAAGCTTGATGGTTAAGTGTTTGAAAATGGAAAAAGTACTGTAAATATTAGCTTTTTAATTTTACAGATTATTTTCTTAAATATTTATTTAAATACTTATTTACAATAGTACATTTTTGCATTTGTTTATTATTGTTTATTTATTTTTAATATTATTATTAAGCAACCACAGCTAGATATTTTATTTTTCATTTTAGTTTTCTTTTTCTTTTTAAATCGTAATCACAATTTTTATCAGTTGTACTGATAATACATAATCTAATTTTTTTTCTTAAATAACTGCTTAAACTAAATACATAATGCAGTGAAATATTACAAGTTATAATTCTTATTTTGTTTAATATTTTTATTTAGTAGTAGTAATAATAATAATTAAATTATTATTATTATTATTATTATTGTTATTATTATTATTATTCATAATAATATTATTATATAGTCATATTGGTATACAATTAAAAAAAAGGCCAGATTGAGCAACCCTGCAAACAAACACAGCAAACCTGGAGCTTTTTTTATTATTATTTGCATTTTAAATCACAATTTTTATCAGAAACATTGCATTTTCGATTTTCCCCCCAAGTCACATTGACCTCCTACACAGCGTTGACTTTATCTGCAAGTTTTATGCATTATCAACTCGCCCAGCTGTAACATTCTTTTGTCCGATAGGTAAAACAGATGACACCAAGGTCTCCGAAAAAGGCCGCATGTCTCCCAGTTCCAACATCGTCCAGCATTCCTCCTCCGACGCCGGTCGAAGCAGCGGAGACGAAGCCAAGAAAACGCCCGCAGGCCGAGTCCCCACAAGCACATTCGGTTTCAAGAAGCCTAACGGTGCCCACGGCCCGGCCACTGTGGTAACCACCTCCAGCATCACTCTGGTGACAGCGAGCGGTGCCACCATTACCAGTGGCTCTGCCACCCTGGGCAAGATTCCCAAATCATCCGCCCTTCTGGTCGGTGGGAGAGCATCATTAAAAGGGGCTGTGGATGGTTTATTGCCCCCTCAAGATGATGGCTACCTGTCCCCCAGTGCTCGTTTAACAAGTGTCATGACTTTTTTTTTTTTTTGTACTTAGTTAGGCCTATAGACTATTTAGATACTTGAGCACCAAGCAATATTCATAAACAGGTGCAGTTGTATTATTTTTTTTTCAGACTTTAAGTTTTTCTAACTTTTATTAGACTGTATTGGAAATAGGAATGTTCATTTCGGTTATTTTATTTCTCCTAACCGACAACCGATGGTCGTTAAGCCATTATTAACCGTTAACCGACAAGATTGTTAAATTACAACGTGGCTGTGACCCATTAAATATACCTAAATTTGTTTTCCGGTGATTTATTTTATACACGCAAAAAGCAGCATAAACAACAGAACGTGAGGATTCACTTGTTCACAACACGCACCTGCAGCGCTTCTGAGAGCGGAGATAAACATAATAAAGCTAGGCTATATATATATATAACGAATAAATAGGCCTATACGAGAAACATATTTTTACTTAAATGGAATGTTCATTTCGGTTATTTTATTTCTCCTAACCAACAACCGACGGTCGTTAAGCCATTATTAACCGTTAACCGACAAGATTGTTAAATTACAACGTGGCTGTGACCCATTAAAAATACCTAAATTTGTTTTCCGGTGATTAATTTTATACACGCAAAAAGCAGCATAAACAACAGAACGTGAGGATTCACTTGTTCACATCACGCACCTTCAACTCTTCTGCGAAGGAGAAAAACATCATAAAGCTATAAAATAAATAAATAGGCTTATATGCAAAATCATTTCTAAATAATTAATAATTAACAAAATGAAAGAGAAAAAAAAAAGTGCAACAAGTAGCAGCCTATATGCAGAATTTCGTTTCATTTTTGTGATGCGTTCTTGAGAAAGCGGCATCCTGTTTGTTTCCTTTATTTTTACAAAACCACAATATTTTGTTTTTGTTGTGAATGTAAATAAAAGAAATATTTAAAATAGTTTCAAATAATGTCTTACTCTTATATGACCACAAAAGGAGGAGTATTGTAAGTTGTTTCCACTTTTATAAAGGGGAAAAAAAATCAAGTGATTGTGTCGGCGCATCACGCGCGCAGTTAAGCATTACTAGCTCGACAACGCAGCCTGTTCATAGTCATAATAAAATACAGTCAGCCAAACATAGGCCTATTGAAAAACCATGCTATTTTACTTCCCCTCACTCCACAACAAATCCTTTAAATTTAACGGTAGAACAGAACAAAACAAGAATAAAAATGTAAGAAGCTACTAACAAGCCAAAGCGAATTAGACCTAATTTAAAATGCTGTACTCATCGTTCCAATATCCACGTAAAACAAGATCTTCAGAACAAAATGAATACATTTTAACTTGCAACGTACTAAAGGAACATCAAATTAAGATATGTATGTTTAAGCGGTAACTCGTCAATTTAATAATATGAATATGATTTAATGCGCTTTTGAACTACAGGGAAACGGTGCTTTAACGTGAGCAACACCACGAACACAGACGCTGCGTATAGGCTAATTCTGTCATGTGACACCACATTTATTTGCATTAAAGCCCCTTTTCTCGACAAAAAGTGTTTCCAAACAAATTTTTGCGACATTTGAACTATCGATATAGATTTTATGCGCTAAAGTTAAACGGAAAAAGATTGTGTCGACACATGAGACATTTTATCGATAAATGGCATTTCCATTAGCTATATCGGTAAAAATTTTGAAGCGCTAAATATTTTTTCGCAAAAAATCCTTGGATGGAAACCTGGCTATTGATAATAAGAAGAAATGCTTTTCAATTACAAATTACAAAGCATATTACAATTATTTGAGGACTCGAGTAATGGCTGCTAAAAATTCTACCTTCTTATCACAGAAATAAATTACATTTCAAACTATAATAAAATTGAAAATGCTTATTTTAAACTGTACAAATATTTTGCAATGCTATTTATTTATTTTAGCTTTATTTTTATAGATTTTTTTATAGAAATTTTAGTACTACAACTTAAATGATGATTTTGCATAGATGCCAAAGCAACATTTCAAATTTTTGTTAAAGATTTTAAGTTCAGATTTTTCATATAATATTTATATTTCATTTTGTTTCAGCTTTATTCCAAACACCGAAAAAAATACTGTTTTACTGTATTTTTGATCAAATTGGTGAGCATAAGAGACTTATAAAATCTTACCAACTCCACATTTTTGAACAGTAGTGTATATTAGGGGTGCAACGGTTCAACTTACTCACGGTTCGGTTTGTATCACGGTTTTAGAGTCACGGCTTCGGTACGGTTCGGTATGTGCTATGTTTAGGGAAAAAACTATACTGTCAAATAAAAATAAAGAAAATATAAACAAATAATCTAACTACAAGTAACAGCACAAATAAATAAACAGTGAAAAAAGATACAACTAAAATAAACAGTGCTTTTCAGTTTTTTTAGGTAGGCCTAACATAGTTTTTAGGTACAGAAATTGAATAAATCAAATGTAAAATAACATTGCATATTTGACTGTATAAATTAAAGATTAATCCTTATTAAAGTTACAAAAGTTATTCAATCAAGAGCAGTGAGAGATTTCCGTGTTGTGGCTGTTTGATTAACATTAAGAAAGTGCTGTCACTTTAAGAGAACGCACTGATTCTTTACGACTATGTCTGCTAGGATACTCACCAAGACGGGCATTTTGACATAATTTTTGTGTGAATTTGTCCATTCAAACACAATACTTCACAGAGAGCTTAATATTTGCGCGCGTTCTGAGATGCGGGTTCACGCGCTTCGGATGAGCGACCACACAGATCTTCTCACTGCGCGCGCAAGTTCACATCTTCTGGCTCTTTAATATTTAAACTGGCAAGGCTTAAATGAGTTTAGTTTAAACACAGATAACAATGTGGTCTCACCTGCGCTATCAACACGTGATGAAGGCATAAATGACAGTTATTCCAGCATAAAGCACTCGCATTGATTAAAGAATGACTGGTTTGTCCACGTATTGTTTTTTTCTCTCTCTCATCGCTCTTGTTGTAATGTATTGGGAAGCCAGAATTTGTATCCATCAACAGAAACATGCATTAGCCGAACTCTAACATAAACAAATAATCTAACTACAAGTAACAGCACAAATAAATAAACAGTGAAAAAAGATACAACTAAAATAAACAGTGCTTTTCAGTTTTTTTAGGTAGGCCTAACATAGTTTTTAGGTACAGAAATTGAATAAATCAAATGTAAAATAACATTGCATATTTGACTGTATAAATTAAAAATTAAATCTGGATTAGTTTTATTAAAGTTACAGAAGTTATTCAATCAAGAGCAGTGAGAGATTTCCGTGTTGTGGCTGTTTGATTAACGTTAAGAAAGTGCTGTCACTTTAAGAGAACGCACTGATCCAGTGCACTGATACTGTACGTTCAGCCGACTATGTCTGCTAGGATACTCACCAAGACGGGCATTTTGACATAATTTTTGTGTGAATTTGTCCATTCAAACACAATACTTCACAGAGAGCTTAATATTTGCGCGCGTTCTGAGACGCGGGTTCACGCGTTTCGGATGAGCGACCACACAGATCTTCTCACTGCGCGCGCAAGTTCACATCTTCTGGCTCTTTAATATTTAAACTGGCAAGGCTTAAATTAATTTAGTTTAAACACAGATAGCAATGTGTGATGCATTGTCAGATTTAAGTTGAACCGCGGTCCTAGTGTATGCCGAACCGTGTGTGGAGACGGTACGGTTCGATTTTTTACCGAGAACCGTTGCACCCCTAGTGTATATGTAGTAGACTAGTTAGTCTTAGTGTAAACTAAAATGCCTTTCCAATTTACTTCCATGTCTCTTTCAGAAATTAAAGAATCTGGATATTATGTTTACTCTTATACCGATACATGATTTCTCATTCTCTGTTTTGCTCTTATTATCTGATTTACTAAGTGTTTGGTTTTATTCTCTGTTTCTCTTTCTTCATCTCTCAGACTTTTTGGTGGTAAGGCTGCTAAACAGGCCCCGGTTACCTCTGCAGAGAGCATGAAAAACTCAGTCGTCATCTCCAACCCCCACGCTACCCTTGGGCACACCCAGTCCTCCGGTGGGCCCTTGGACTCCCCCTCCACAATAGCAGGCAGCGGCGGCAGCAGTCCCTTGTACGGGGGTCGCGGCGCCAGCATAGGGGGCAGCGAACAAGCTTCGAGCCCTGGTTCGGTGTACTCAACGTGCACTGGGACCTGGGGCACCACCATCAGCAGCTCTTCGGCTCTCGGCTACCCCTCCGTCAGCAGCATGCACACCAGCAGCGAGTCCATCGACATGTCAGTGGGCAGCGGGCATCACCGTGACGATGTCCACCCGGTACTGATGCGGACGGGTAGTGCCAAGACAGGCATGTCAGAGAGGTGAGTCTGGGAGAGACTAGAAAGAAACTTTAATGGAGTCTTTGTACTTTTTTATCTGTGAGACTGGTCTGGGTTAACACTGAAATATTGTGTATTATAATTCAGAAATTGGAGTGCTAATCTGAATTGGATTTTGAATCCGAATTAGAATCAGTTCTTGATTCTGAAAAGTAACTTTTGCACTGCAAGGTTTAAGGGGGTAACCACATTTAAATGGGGAAATAAATCTCCTATATGATTTTTTTTCCTGTGTGTACAGAATCCAGGAGCAAAGAGACATGACATTTGCAGCGTGTATGTGGTCTATGAGAATCAGAATTCTGAATCGGAATCCAAATCTGAATTAGAATTCTGAATTTGATTCAGATCTAATGGGAAATTCCTATCCATTAAATTCAGTTAGGTTGTTAAATCAGGAAACTGATTGCTTTTCAGTATTATTTTTATACTATTATAGTATTCATTACATTTTTAATTGGCTTATATATATATATGTGTGTGTGTGTGTGTGTGTGTGTATTTCTTTCATTTTATTTTAATTTAAGTTTTAGTATTTTTTGTGCTTTTATTATTTTTTTATTTTAATTATTTAGAATTCAATTTTATTTTTTAATATTTTAATTATTTTAGCTTCATTTTTATTTCAGCTTTTTTAAAGAAATGTTACTATTACAACTTAAATATGTTGATTTTACATAGTTGCCAAGGCACCATTTCTAATTTTTGTTAAAGATTTTAAGTTTAAAATTTCCATGTAATATTTATATTTTTTTGTTTCAGCTTTATTCCAAATACTGAAAAAAGTTTAAAAAAAGAATGTTAATAGTTTTTGTTTACCATAACGATACTGTTTTTATTTATATTTTATTTATACTAAGTAATTTGATGCTTGCTCATGTAATTTTATGAATTATCATTTATAGTTATAATTTTAAGTTTTAGTTTAGTTTAGTTTTTTTTTCTTTATCTTTTTTTTCTTTATTCTTAATAATAAATGTTTAATTTGTTGGTATTTGTTGAAAAACCCAATTGATGGATAAACTTTATATTGATAGGCAAACTTTAGGTTTACAATTTAAAACTGAATATGTGTCGTTCTATCACAGTGCTCAGCATAATAACACACTTTATCAAGTTGACTGCAGTGTGGGAGCCTCTTGGGGTGCCTGTAATTCTGTATTCATCTCTTCTCCAATGCTCTATGTTTGTCTATCAACCCTCTCCTCTCTCCTCTACTTTCCCCAAGTCCCCTCTCCTCTCCCTCTGCAAGTCCTAAATTCAGCCGTAACACATTGCCCCGGAAGCAAGACAGGTAAAATGTCCGATAGCTTTTGAGTCCGCTTATGCTGTTTTTTAATAATGACATGGCTTTGTGTCTTTGTGTTTGCGTAATTTTAAAGTTTTAAAGACCCCATGCAATCAAAATGGGGTTTTGTGGCTTTTAGTCCATGTCTCATTTAAATGCTAGTGAACTCCAAAAAAAAAAAAAAAAAAAACACTTTCTCTTCTGGACAAATGGACCAACAATAAGTTTGTGATAGAAGTGTCTGGTGAGGTTTTGCAGGGCTGTGGCATAAACTTAAGGCTACTGGCTATTTAAAAAGGGACTTCCTGTTTCAATAGGAAATATGCCAACACATGAACATGATGTAGAACTATGATTGTCAAACCATTTCATGGGGGCTTTAATTACACCTTTGTTAGCACTTGTTACTATCGCGACACCTAGTGGTAAAATTCATAACTTTCCTCAATCAAACCCAGAGCTTTGATTACAAAGATGGTTTATTTGCTTTATGATTAATGTGACATCATAGATCAAGAACAGCTTTTGTTTGGACTCTTAGGAGTTCTCAAAGGACAGATCAAAGGATAATCACCTTTAATAGTTCAATTATAATTGAATTAAACCTTATTATCTGTCAGGAGTGGACCAACCCCTCATGATTGAGTAAGCTCTACATGTTCCTCTCCTCCCTCGCTGTTTTCATTTCATCCGTTTCTCAGTGATTCCTGCAGGGTTAGAGACACGCTTCCCAAGCAGGGACTCAAGTACAGGTGCATTGTGGGAATATGCAGATCCTGCTCACTGTGCTTATTATACTGGCACGCATGTTCTCCTTTCTGTTCTGTTCTCTCTCTTGCACATGCTTCTATGTTTTAATATGCAGTGTGGTTACAGTTTTATTTTTGAGCACTGTTTTCTGTTGCAGTTTCGGTGTGAGCGCATGGCACTTGTCACTTTTTGTACAGAGTTTTGTACAGAGTTTTTTCACATTATGGAGTACTATATGTAAATTAGCCGTTTTTTTGGAAATGTATGTTTTTTCTTCCCACAGTTTTATTACTTTTTCTGTCTGCAGTGTGTGAGCAAATCAAAATTTTAGCCCAACTTTTATTTGTAATTCCATTTACAAGCTATTGATGATTTCCAAATAATTCTTCACATTATGAACGTTTTTTTTTAATGCAAAGTATATATTACACATTAATGTTAATAATAGATGTTATAAAATGTAAAACATAAATATATTTTCATATATACTACCATTCAAAAGTTGGTGAGTGAAAAAAAAACAAAAAAACATTTTCAGCATCATTACTCCAGTCTTCAGTCTCGCATCATCCTTCCGAAATCATTCTAATATGCTGATTTGCTTAATATATTTGTGGAAACCATTATACATTTTTAAGGACTCATAGATTAATAATCATTCATAATAATTAACAGAAAGTTCAAAAGAACAGCATTTATTCTAAATCTAATTTTTTGTAACATTCTAATTGTTTTAGTGTCTTTCGGTCAATTTAATGTTGCTGAATGTGTAAGTATTAATTTCTTTGAAATAAACTTTTGAACGGTAGTGTAAATATACCATTTTTAAAATAAAATATTAGAAATTAGAACTTATAAAATGACTTTACACGTACTAAAATTACGTTGATTGGTCAGGTTTCAGATCACAGTGTTTGTAACAGTGACATTAGAATGCCGGTATCTGATTGGATGGTCCTCTTGTTGCAGGTACGCCCCTTCAACACATCTGCGTCAGGAAGAGGCACGTGATTGGCTGCGCTCACATTCGGCCGGTGGATTGCAGGACTCAACCAGTAACTCTCCCTTCTCCACCGGCTCCAGCTTGACGTCACCATCCGGAACGCGGTTTAACTTTGCTCAACTTGGTAAAATGCATATATTGTGAATATACAATATTGGATATAACATTTTCATAACGATTATTCAAGTATTCTTTTCTGAAATGCATTGTGTATTATTTTTAGGCTTGACTTAAGTGTGCACTTTGCTTTAAATAACATTTTTTTTTTTTTTTTTCCAACATGGTTTGTCTGAAATTATATTACAAGCAGCAGACCATACTAGAAATGAATATGTCATTTTGACTATTATTATTTGTCTTGTCTTGATTATGTGTTATACAGGAAGCCCCACCACGGGTGCTCAGATTAATCTAGCAAGCCTGCGCAACAACAGCCTGACCAATCAGGACAACCCGCTGGACAGCCATGGTGATTCCCGTCTGCGCAACTCCTGCATGTCTCTGGATGAGAAGACCCGCACCATGAGCCGGTCGGGATCCTTCAGGGACGGGTTCGAGGAAGGTGAGATAAATAATTGCAAGAGACAGTAGATTAATTTATGCTCTTCTATACTTTATAAATGTTACATTAGATTAGTACATTACATTAGTCTGTCACAACTTAAATGATTTTTGCATTACCGTATCTATGAATGATAAATGCAATGATTTATAATTTGACCAAAATAAGGTATCTTAGAAGGCATAATAATGTTGTTGTCTACATTTTGGAAGAGTCTGCATGTCAGGAGCACCTGTATTATACTTAAAAATGTTGTCTTGGTAGGCAGCTTACTCGTTGTTCTTTAAAGACAAAAGAAGATAGGCTTTTATAAGAAGAAGGTAAATTTCTGCAACAGCTTGTCAGCTTGAGCTCCATGCTGAAATACAACGCACAGACAGCTGAATCCAGCATAAGCCCATCTGTCTATCCTCAGTCTATTCACCCATTAGACTAAATCAACAGTGTCTGTTCTCCTCTCTTTCACTGACACACATGAAATCTTTTTGAATAATCATTGTGTACTTAAAGCTTTATGTTACATTTTAAGTCATTACAATTTTCCACTCAGCCCGGACCACCTGTTCATGCATTTACCTGTTATGAGTCTCTTCTTTAAGAGCGGAAAGATGTTTGCCAAAGACAGTTAAGCCATAAACTGACCCCTGCAGAAAGATTTAAAAATGACACTCGCGGCACAGTAACCCAGTATTACCCAACTGGGCCTTTTGTGACATCTGAAACCAAATACAAGTTAAAAGCCATGTACGTTCTCTTAAGAATTAAAAAAATATGATACAGTATGTGTGCCACGGACAGGGGACTGAACTCTGTGACTCTGAAACATGAGTGCTGTAAATGTCCCAGAGGGATTGTGGGAACCGGTTTGAGAGAGGACTTGATCCACACACAGGAAGTAAAGAAGATACATTTCATATCCTCAGCCTCTGGCAAAAGTTTATCTATCTATCTATCTATCTATCTATCTATCTATATATCTATCTATCTGTCTATCTATCTGTCTGTCTGTGTCTCTCTGTCTGTCTATCTATCTGTCTATCTCTCTGTCTGTCTGTCTAACTATCTCTCTGTCTGTCTTTGAAATATCTTGGAGTACCACAAATACCATGGTAAATGAAAAGAAAATGCTTTATTGGCCAGGTTTGATTACATAGAATTAAATTATGCTTACATTTGAATTAAATGGTAATCATTCAGTACCATAATGTATCTCAAAGCACGGTGTATCCTGATACCATGTTTTTTTTGTTTTTTTTGTGCGTAGGGCCATGCCTTTCCAAAACAACCATAACAGACTCACGTACAGTAGGTAATAAGCTGTGAGATACGTAATGAATTTCTTTCCCTAAACCATCCATCCCGTCTTTCTCTCTCCCTCTCTCTCTCAAACACACATTACTCTCTGTTTTGGTTTTCTGGGTGGTCCTCAGCCGAGTTTATAAGTGTCGCTGCTCTTTCATTCTCGCATCTAAACCCCGCCCACATCACGCCCAGCCAGCCGCTTGCCGTTTCCTCAGGGCTGATAGGGCATCATGAGGAAGTGCCAGGGACCCGTGGGTGGACTGTGGTTGGGCTGCTGTCTGTGGTTTGTTTGGGAAATGATTTTCACACCCTGAAATGAAAGTCACACCCTGAGCTCACAGTCACGATCAGCATTACTGTCTGTTACTGATGTTGTTATTACCTCTGATGAGTCACATCTTGTCGGGCAGGTGAAAGTTTAATTGGAGGTTTTAGTTGTTAGACACAGTGTGTGGGTTGATGCTATTGTCTGTGTTTGTTTGTCTGTGTAGGTTAGCCGGGGGTTAACGTTGCATTTAGGTGTTTTAAAAAGTGAGCATTCATAAACTGTGCTGGATGTAAACTGTTCTGTGTACTTTAAAAATGTACTACTTCCATTAAGTAGTCATTTTAGCGTTAAAATACACTGACTTTATCTGATGTGCTTACTTTTGATATAGGTTTTTTATTATGTTCCCTAGCAACAGTCTGTCACATCCCAAAATGTCTTAATTACTATACTTTTATGTTTTTCTCCCTTTAGTTCATGGATCATCCCTCTCACTGGTGTCCAGCACCTCTTCTGTCTATTCAACGGTGAGTTTTTTGTGTGTGTATGTTTTAAATTTGTATTTTTACTTTCTAACTTACTTTTTTTCGTACAAACTCTTCCATAATAAACATAAACATTTATTAAAAATCTAAATCATACAATCGGAACACCAAATTGTTGTACAGTTAACATGTGATAGATAGATAGATAGATAGATAGATAGATAGATAGATAGATAGATATCAGTGATTAGGTTTCAGCCAGTGATTATATAGGAAAATGGATAAATTGGAGTGTGCCACACCTCCAGATGGGCGGCTCTACTTACCTGCAGAGGTGTTTTAACAACAGTCTCACTCTGGCACACGTGTAGTGAGTCTTCAGTTCAAATGAGGTTGACTTAGGTAGAGATTTGTTTAGAAAGGATCAGATTTACTGAAGTATAAAGAGTGGAAAATCATGATGATGGCGACTCTCTCTATGGGGAGAGCTGTGACTTCTTGGGGATACACGGTAGGAATCTTCGTTTTTAGATTGCTCCTATTCTATATTTATATATTTATGTGACATATTATTACAATTCATTCATTCTTAGTTATGTACCAGTAAATAAAATCTGTAGTGACTTGAAAAGTGTATCTTGTTGGACTTAACTAAGCAGAGAATTGACTCTACAGTCTGTCTGAAGTTATTTGTCTGAAGTTGGAGGCTGTAAGGTGTGTTTGTTTGTGTATGTGGGAAACAGCTGTCATGCAGAAACATAATGTCTCTTAGACACAAACATGAAATACTCTGTGGTGCTTTTAAAAGTACAGGTTCATTCTGTACAACAGAGTACTGAACGTTCATCAAAAGCCAGATATAATAGCATGGTAATCTTTGGTCTCAGAGACAACAAAAGCTCAGAGATTTCAAACAAAGCTCTTCTGGTCAGAGTTGCATTGACAAAATCACCATGTTGAGTCTGTATGATCAAACACATTTACAAAAAGCCAGATTTGATTAAACCGAAACCAGCTAGATGCCGCTGGGGTTGTCCCTCATGTCATATGATGCTTTGACGGACAGACAATGCTGCTATTTTAATATCACTGTCAGTCTAGCTGTCGGACAGGTGTCAACAGTAAAGAAAATCATTAGAGTGGGTGTCATTACATGCGTGTTTGCCAGACGACATACAAAGAGCCCTAGTATGCTATTGTTGTCTAGAGCAGACATTTGTCAGCAAGCATGCTCATTCACCTGAAGATTTCAAAATCTAGATTTAAAATCTGGAAATAAACAAGTTCTACGATTTTGAAAAAATGTAGAGCGAAGAAATGTTATGATGTACAGTAATATGAATCAGAAGTATTTAATATTGGACATTATTTCTAGATCACTTTGTGACAGTTTTGACTTTTTTGTGCAAAAGGTCAAATGTTCTTTGTTCCACTGAATCTGTAATTACACAAACTGTATTTTTTTAAATTCTGTTTTTCACTCAGATTATTATGCTCATAATATATTGTAAAATAAAATAAACTATTGTGTGTGTTTTTTTTTTTAAAGAAGCATTTTTACTAGTGCTCTCACACCTGTGTATTTAAACTAAGCTTTTTACGTATATGTTTGTGTCGATATCATTAAAGAGCTTCTGGGTGCTTCCCATTGTCTAGTTACCAACTTTAGTGTTATTACCAACACTCAGTCATATTCAAATGTGTCCAACTTCCCATTTGTCTGCTAGTGTACCAGTAGAGATGAGCTCATAAATCACAGGAAAAGGAAAGTCCCCCTTTAGAGCTTTAGGGTTATCATTCTGTTCACTTTCAGGTGTGTGTTGCTCTCTCTGGTGTTCATTTTAAACCCTCAGGAGAGAAAGCAGCTCATTTTTCAACTGTTAAACAAGAAAAGCTGAGCAAATACGCCATTTAAAAGTGCCAGTAACTACTCTGTCTTTTTATTTTAACAGACGGAGGAGAAATCACATTCAGAGGTGAGGACTTGTTTGTCCTTTCGCAAAAACAACACACACGCGGCCCCCCACATACCTGTGAACCGCATTGCCGTCACCTGTAGCGTGTTTATTCACCACCATTGACCTGTTATGAACACAAACTGTGGGCGGATTCACTGTCGGCTCTGTGATCTCTGTGATCTTTACATCCACCTGTGCAACACACCTGTATTCTGTACATACACCTGCAAACTATTTCCCCTTCTCTTTGAAACCAAATCACATAGTTCTCTTTCCACGACACACCTGGATCCCTTGTGTGTGCCTCCTTTTCCTCTTCTTTTGATCTGTGTTTTGTCTTCCTCTTTTCAACCCGTTTCTCTTCTGCATTTTTTCTCCAGATCCGCAAGCTGCGTCGAGAACTGGACGCCTCCCAGGAAAAGGTGTCCGCCCTGACAACGCAACTCAGTGCCAATGTAGGTGGACACAGATACATAGTTCTGAGACTGCTCTTTATTCTTTTATTATATCTACAGGGCATTATTAATTCACAATTCAGTATCTAGTGTCAGTTGTCATTCTGAGGCATCTTATAAATGGTGTTATCGTAATCCCAGTGACGCCTGTGTGGGTTGTGTATTTGATTAATGTTAGCGTTGATCGTGACCTCATTGGAGTTTCCATTTGTCGTTATATTATCATACAATAGCACTACGTCTTAAGGAACACTGGCTATTGTAAAACATTTTCCTACACTTAAGATGCACTTACCCATGTACAGTAGTTACACCTGTTATGTTTAAAAAAAATTAAACCTGTTTTTAGAGATCACTCTACTATATAAGACAGTCGAAGTTACGGGAAATAAAGTCACAATGAACAGTTAGAATTCAAATGGGTAGCATCTGCAAAAAAATTGTCACAATTTTGAGGTATGAAGTTGAAATAATTGTGACAACTGTGAAATATAATGTTGTATTGTGAGATATGAAATTATAATTGTGAGAAATGTTCACAATTTTAGATATAAAAGTTATCAGAAAAGTAGTCAAACTTTGAGATATAAAATTGAAACAATTTTGAGGTATAAACTTCACAATTATGCAAAGAGGTTCATTAGATCTTATTGTTTAAGTCATTTTGTGAAAATAAATTACATTTGTGAGAAACAAAGCACAGTTTTGAGGTATAGTTTAAAAATCACAATTATCAGAAGAAATCATTGTTGTGATGTATAAAATTATATTGTTTGATTTAACATTCATGAGGTACAACATTTATTAGAAATACTATAGTCACAATTTTGGGGTATAAAAGTCACTAATGTAAGATATAAAATTACATTTGTGAGAAATAGTTGCAATTTTGAGGTATAAAATACACAATTATGAGAAAGAAGTAACATACAACAGAAAAAGTCACAATTTTGAGAACTAAAGTCACAACTGTGAGATATAAAGTCACAGTTGTAAAAAATAAGTACTACTGGGGGCCACTGTATTTTTATCAAATATAACATACTAGACTAAATTATAATATACTGCGAGACTATGCAGGATTCAAGTCAGAACAGATCCACGCCATTTCCACCAGAGAAATGGGCTGTGTGTGATGTTTGATTTGATGATTTATGGCTATAGACAAAGGGGAGTACAGACCACGTTCAGTGTTTTTGATATGCTCTCCTAAAGATAAATGTATGTGTAAATCACAAAGACATGTCTCTTATGCCTAAGGCAAAGGAATCCTGTCTTGTAAGTACAAACTAGACAAGATTTTTTTTAGAGGTACTAACAAAAGAGGAGTTTAAATGTGCACCAAAAAGACAAGATTTTCTCTTTTTGCTGCATTGTTTATTTCTTCCTTTTCAAGCTTGTGCGTAATGGTTTCTGACATAACGTAGTACACCATGAACTTGTCAACTTGTTGAGAACAGTGTAAATTTTTGACTGGTGTGGAATGAGGTGAAGGATTATTTATACATGTAAGACATATATAGAACATTGTTTCGGTTTAATGATTATGTTTGCTATGCAGACAAAACACTACAGCTACAGAACAATGAGAAATATCCAAACAGAAAGAAAAAGAATGGTAAAAAAAAAAAAAGGGCCCTTGAGACGCCAGTGAAACATGTCAAGGCCCCAGGCGGCCTCTTTGCTTTGTCTGTCTCAGTTATCAGTGTTAGGAGGAGCTTCACTGCTTCTTAATATATCGCTGTAGTTTCGTTATCAGAATCTGAGCTATCTATGGAACAGCAGAAGAGCTTTAGTGATGTTTGTTCTGACGGGACTGGCCCTCTGATTTGGCTCCCTTTGAACTGCTACCCTTCCCATGGGTGCCCAGAGAAACACACTCCCTCTCAGAAAGAAAAATATAGACAGGGAGGCTTTACGGAGACAAATGACAGCTCCCAAGACCCTCTTGGACGTGAGGTGAGGCGATGACCCCGAAGAAAATTGTATGCTTAGTGGTTGCTTTTCCATAGTTTAGGAATATTAGCTTGGAAAGTTTTAACGTTGACTCTCATATTTTCTTTGAAATATCTCATGACAAATAAAATGGGAATTAATGAGACAATTTTTGGTATTAAAAATTTGGTCAAGAATTTGTTAGGAAATGTTTGAGTTTATATTTCAAATCTCTTTTTATTTCCAACTTTGTTATCTGAGCACAATTTAAGACGTTGTTGAGATCACTTGAAATTTTAGAGGATGCATGTGTAAATATTCAGGTTGTCTGAAAATTAAGAGACTTGAGAAAAAGTCTCCGTTTGATCTCCATTTATTGTCATTGTGGTCTGGGAGAAACAGTTGAAACTCTTCAAATGTATTTAAGCGATCATTTGTAATTGTTTTCATTCTTAAGGGGAAGATTAGATTTAGAAGGAAAGGTGAACTGTAACGAAAGGATAAATTAAGTTTGTGTTGTCGCATGCAGGTCAAAGTTTAGATTGCACATCTAAGTGTTTGTGTTTAGTAAGTTTAAGCTTTGCTGCTTCAGTAACCAGTTTCAATAACCAGGCAACTCCATGGGTCATGCATTTCATGCAGCTTTGAATGAGGTATAAAATTTGCAACTATGAGAAAAAAAGCTGCATAACAAAAAAATCATACTTGTTGTGAGATGAATGTCACAACTGTGTGAAATACATTTACAATTTAGAGAAATAAAGTCACAACTGTCAGATAAAAGTCCTATTGGGAGATATTAAATCACTTTATTTATTGTGATATTAATCATTAAATCACTTATTAAATCACTCAAATCACAATTATGAAAAATAAATACTATTGGGGGCCACTGTGTATTTATAAAACATACTAGACTAAATTATAATATAGTGCGAGACTACACAGAAAAATTTGAGTCAGAACAGAGAAATGGACTGTTGGGAAAAAAAATTTAAGCTTTTCTGCTTCTGTTGAACGTTTCAATAAGCAGGCATCTCCCACACAGTTCATGCAGCTTTGAATGAGTGCATTTGTGACTGCTCTTATCATCTCAAGGAAAAAGCTTTGCTTAGACATTTAATTTAAAGGGGTCATATGATGTTGCTAAAAAGAACATTATTTTGTGTATTTAGTGTAATGAAATGTGTTTATGCGGTTTAAGGTTAAAAAAACTCATTATTTTCCACATACTGTACATTATTGTTTCTCCTCTATGCCCCGCCTTTCTGAAACGTGTCGATTCTTAAAGGCAGATTGCACAATGTCTCTGTGTTATGTGAATAGTGTATTATGGTGCAGCTATGATGAATGCATGCAAAAAAAACAACATAATTTTGAACTTGGATGAGCCCTCTTTCCTCATTTTGCCTGTTTTTCTCCACAGGCCCACCTGGTGGCAGCATTTGAGCAGAGTTTGGGCAACATGACCATCCGACTCAAGAGCCTCACCATGAACGCAGAACAGAAAGTAAATATCAACACGCTTGCTTTTGAATTCATCACACTTGTTCATTAATAAACTTAAACAGAGTATGATTTTGTAGATGCATTGTCAATAAATATGTATTTGTATGTTAGGACTCTGAGCTGAACGAGTTGAGGAAAACCATTGAGCTGCTAAAGAAGCAAAACGCAGTGGCTCAAGCGGCCATCAACGGCGTCATCAATACTCCAGAACTCACCTGCAAGAGTGAACGCACAGGTGAGCAAAAGAAAATAATCAATAAATCAAGACTTTTTTTCAGTTTGACTTCATATTTGAAATCTCTGACATTTGATTTCAAACTTCTTGTTATCTATCTTTTCCTTTGACGTGAATAATTACATTAAATTATGTATTTTGAGCATTCTGTATATACTTTTCAGACGTTGTGTTCTGATGTATTATACAGTATTGTTTAGTTTTGCTGTTTGAACACTAAATGGCACACTTGAAGTCAACCAAAATCTCTCTCTGTTCATCAGGTAATAATGGTTCAGCCCCCGGAGCGCAGCCGGACCTGCGCATGCGCAGACAGCACTCATCTGACAGCGTCTCCAGCATCACCAGCCACTCCAGCCTGGGCTCCAACATGGACAACCCCGACTCCAACAGCAAGAAGAAGAAGAAGAACTGGGTGAGTACACAACATTTAAATAAAAAATAAAAAAAGATGGTTCACCCAAAAATGACAATTCTTTCATTATTTACTCCGCCTCAAATTGTTCCAAACCTGTATGATTTTCTTTCTTGTGCTGAATACACAAGAAGATAATTTAAAGAATGTTGATTACCGAGCAGTTTCCAGTCCTCAACTATACTATAGAAGTCAATGGGGACCATCAAGAGTTTGGTTACCCATATTGTTCAAAATATCTTCTTTTATGTTCAACAGAAGAAAGATACTCATACAGGTTTGGAACTATTTGAGGCTGAGTAAATGAAAGAACTGTCACTTTTGGGTGAACTATCCCTTTAAAGAAATATTCAACCATTGCTAACCTGTGTTTCTTCATTCCGCATTTTATTTGTGTCTAACATTTGTCTTTTATGTTTTTGTCTGAAGTTGCCAAAACTTTAAATATAAATAAATACTACTAACAAACATCTAGTGTGATAGTAAACTAAATGCTGATACTTTTCCTGAAAACAGTATTAAAAGAAAAAAATAAGGTCCTGCCTTTTTTGTAGTGGAAGTTAGTTTACCATACAAATAGAGTTTAATATTGTTCGTCCTGTTTTGCCGTATCATGCTGACTGTAGCTGATGACCTGTGCTGGAGGTGACGTGTCAGATGATGAATATGAATATGTATGTTAAATAATAATGACAGTAGTTACCCTCTTATGTTTAGACAAGTGTAACATAGGCTAGCAGTCCTTGTAGATTTATATACACTACTGTTCAAAAGCTTAAGGTCAGCTTGCTTGTTTTTTGAAAGAAATTAATCATTCTATTCCATTAAGGATGCGTTGATCAAAAGTGACATGAAAGACATTTACAATGCTAAAAAATTCAAATTCGAATAAATGCTGTTCCTTTGGACTTGTAAAAATGTGTTAGGTTTCCACAAAAATATTAAGCAGCACAACTGTTTTCAACATTGATAATGACAAAAAAAAATCTTTTGCAGCAAATCAGCATATTAGAATGATTCCTGAAGGATCATGTGACACTGAAGACTGGAGTAATGATGCTGAAAATTCAGCTTTCCATCACAGGGATAAATTACATTTTAAAATATATTCAAACAGTTATTTTAAATTGAAATATTTCACAGTATTACTGTTTTTACTGTGTTTTTGATCAAATAAATGCAGCCTTGGTGAGCATACGAGACTTCTTTCAAATTTTTGAACAGTAGTGGACACCAGCAATTTGAGTTTTAAATGCTTAGTATCCCAGTTTGTGTTGTTATTTTTGCTAACAAATATTTTTAGACTGACTTCAGTTGTGTTTAAATTGGTTATTTAGTTTTGTAGGTGCATTACTGTTGTGTAAAAAGGTCATATTAGCCTGGTAGTCCAGTTGGTCATCTAGTGTTTTGGAGAATGGTAACAAGCTTAAGTAGGTCCCTATTCCTGCAGTCGATTTGTGTTATTGTGTGTGCATTGGTCCTGGTGGACGAATCACTGAGGGGTTTGTCTTGGTAAGTTTGTCTTTAAGTGAAACATGGTGTTGTAATTTAACACGACTCTCTCAACTTAGTAGTTCTTCCTGCAGATTTAGTTGTAGTCATTGTAGACAGTGATCTGACAGTGATTTATAGCGTCTTGCAGCTTGTGCTTAGGTCAGACCCCTGTGCAGGACACAAACACACACGGCTGAATGTGCTTTTCTGTCTCTCTGTTTTTCGCTGTGCTGTCGCTTCATATGGCAGGTGTATGAGGTAAGAGTGTGTGTTCAGAGAATCCTGCACACCTGTCTTTGGTTAACCCAGCTTCACTCCGCATCACACCACTAACCCTGCTAACCCTTAGATGTACTGATGTACTTCTCCTCAGCCTGCTGTCTTTCTCTCCCCTACTCTGTCCTTCCAAACCCCTTCTTCTCATCCTATTTGAAATAATGTCTTACAGTGATTTATACGTTTATTTATACAATTAAATTGACAGTTATGGGTGCTTTCACACTTGGTTCGCTTGCCTGGTCCGAACCCGAGTTCGATTGCTCCCCCCTCCCCCTGCCCCCGCTGGACTGCGTTCATATTATTTTATTTGGGTCCGAACCGCGGTTCGTTTGCGTCATCAAGCCAGCAGCTGTTTACCCCGTTGCTTAGTAACGACGGCACAGGAGAAGGCGGCAAATGCATAACATTGCTCTCTGCACTTTTATATATTTACGTTTTTGAACCGTTCGTTTTGTTTACAAAGCTTCAGTACATAACGGCACTTACGTCTGTCTTACTATTGTACTGCAAATGCTCTAAAGAATGCTGAAGGCGAACAGAAATGAGATATATATATATATATATTTAATTTTGAACTTAATTATTATAATTGTGTAATTTTTTTATTTTACATTTATTGATAATAAACCTTGTGATTATGCACTTATTTTAATTTTTTGCAGTTTGTTTTTTTATTTTGAAGTACTTCATTATGAACTTTTTATTTTTGTTTTTTATTTAAAAACATCTTGATTCTGAACTTTATGAATGTTTATTTTTTCTTTTATTTTAAACTTTTGCAACTATAGAGTAATAAATGCCATTGTATTGTAAACGCTGTTTAAAATAACTGTCAAAATGACTAAAATGAAAGTTTAAAAGCTCAGCACATTCAAATCTATACATAAAAAAACACAGATAAAAAGGCTGCTTTATCTTCAATCTTTGATATGAATGATGCTCAACCTGCCTTTATATTTGACGCTGTGTCTCCCTTGCTGTTTTACTCCCCTGTCTGCACTGTACTGCTTCTCTTACACATATTGAAGTGCTGCCTCATCATTTTTGGAGAAACTCTCAGCGTCATGATCTTCTCTCTGTTGTCGTTGCAGCTGCGGAGCTCCTTCAAACAGGCCTTCAGTAAGAAGAAATCACCCAAATCAGCTTCGTCCCACTCAGACATTGAGGAGATGACGGATTCCTCTCTCCCTTCCTCTCCCAAACTCCCTCACAACGGCACCAGCACCTCGGCACTGCTGCTCCGCAACACACACTCCCGCT